GACACTGTCCGGCTGACGGCATCCTGAGGAGGCCCCCCCCGTGGGATTTTATTGGCCATTGGGAGGTATGCGGCAGTAGGCGGTCTCGCAAATATGCTGGTCCTGAGCCATGTAGGGCTTAAACTAATCTTCATATTATATTTATGCATATTATTGAGCCAGGATGTTTAACCATGCTGTTTTAACCAATAAGTCAAAGTTGCCAATTTCCCTCATTATTCTACGCCAAACGGAACCATTGTGTGATTGCGGGCTTAGCTTGGACTAACTTAAATCATTCATTTAAATACAGTAGGTTCGAACAATTTTTGAAACCCACCACTGTTGAGAGGGCTTAAGAGCACAAAATGAAATAACTCTATAGAACATGATGCTGTGGAGTGGGTATTAGAAAGTTGAAATATTACAGTCTACTAATTTGGAAAGTTTATCTGAGAAGCTGTTTGGCCTGCCCCATAGAACAGGGGTGGGGGAACCATGCCCCTTTGGACTTCTTCTCCCAGAATTCTTGAGGCAGCATGGCTAGCTCAGGAATTGACATCCACAAGTCATAAGGGGGGCATAGTTCCCCACCTTTGCCATACAGCAAAGATGTCCAACCCAGAACTCCAAAGTTACACACACCCTTCCTCCCACCCCCGATAGAAATTCCCAACACCTACTCAAGCGTGCAACCCGATCCCAACTTAGAATGAAGGAACAGAATATTAGATTCACTGAACTTGTCATTATTTCCTTTGAATTTGATTACATTTTTAAATTTATTTATTTATATATTTATTAGACTTATATACCGCTTCATAGGGCTTTCAGCCCTCTCTAAGTGGTTTACAGATTTTTAGCAAATTGAGTCAGAAAATTTGGGTCCTCATTTCACCCACCTCGGAAGGATGGAAGGCTGAGTCAACTTTGAGCCGGTGAGATTTGAACTGCTGAACTGCAGATAGTAGTTAGCTGAAGTGGCCTGCAGTACTGCACCCTAACCACTGCGCCACCTCGGCTCTTAAATTACGGCTGTAAAATTACTGTAAGCTATTGAATTACAGGTAGTTCTTAATATATGGCCAGTTTCTTAAAACTGTTCATAATTATGACAAACCTGGAAAAAAAGTACTTAAACCTGGTCTTGAAGTTACGACCAACCTTGTGGTCATGTGATCACATTTTGGCTGCTTGGCAATTGGCGCACATTTAGAATCGGTTGCAATTGCCTGCAGTCATGTGATTGCATTTTGTAACTTCTTTTGCTATTTTGCAGCAAAAATGCCAATTGGATAAGCTGGTTTCAGATTTACAGCCATGTGATTTGCTTAATGACTACAGTGAATTGCTTAACAACCATTGTAAAAACAATTGTAAAACCAAGTGCATTCACATAGTCAGTTGATTTACAAATGTAGACGTACACATAACATCCCAGGTTCAATTGTAGTCTTATCTGTATGAAGTTAATAATAATAAATGAAGTTGCCAGTTGCTATTTAGATCATCTAAATTGAGGATGTTAATCTTCAGTGCAGGAACTCTGATTTATGTACACATATATAACTAAACATACACATACAAATTTTGAATTTAAACTCCAATTTTCAAGCATCCCGTGCTGGCGCAGCAGCCATGGTGGCATAGTGGTTAGAATGCAGTATTTCAGGCGAACTCACTATTTCCTGCCAGGAGTTCGATTCTGACCATTTCAAGGTTGACTCAGCCTTCCGGCCTTCTCAGGTTGGTAAAATGAGGACCCAAATTGTTGGGGAAAATATGTTGACTCTGTAAACTGCTTAGAGAGAGCTGTAAAGCATTGTGAAGTGGTATATAAGTCTAAGTGCTGTTGCTGCTATTGTGACCCCAGACAAATGGCTATCTTAACCTTCACTTGAATATATCTATTGATGTGTTCATTGGAAAACCTGATGCCCACCATTTTTAAATTACCATCCTCACAAGAACAACTTAGCATGACCAGTGATTGGGGACTATGGGTTTGGTAATTCAAAACATCTGGAGAATGCAATAGTTGCTAATCACTATTCTAAGTAATCTGAGAGTGTTAAACAAATAAAAGAGGAAGAACAGAATTCCCCACCTCGATTAGAAGTTTCATAGAGTGCTGCTTTTCAAGATACGCACGAGCAGTATGAAATCCCAATTGTGTTAGAAGCAAAAATACACTGCCAAGGGAGCCAGCTGTTTTAAAAGACAATTCTAAATATGCAGATTAAAAAACAACCTCCACCATGTTTTCTGTTAACAGAGCACCCAGCATATCATTGAAGATTATTTTATTACATATGACAAAAATGTACATACAAGTATTATCCCCATATAAAATCGATTTCAGCTTCATTCTAGCCATACGTATTTCAAATGTGGGTTGATATTTATCCTGAGGCTACCCACGTAAGCTGTAATTTTATGCATATCTGTTTATAGCCTTCAAATGTTGATATAAATAAAACAAATGGCACGCTTCTGAGTAAACTTTCATAGGCAGGCATGTTTACATTTGGTGAATCTATTTTCACCGGAACAATTAACAACACTGAAATATTCCATACCATCTAAATCAGGCGTGTCTAACCCGCAGACTGCATTCGGTCCTAGACACCTAGTAATGCCACCCCACAAGATAATAAAAATATATTTTTTAAAAAGGAAGTTTGTTATTTATATCATTAACTATACTGTATATTTAATACGCAGCTCAAGACAATACGTCTTCGCTCAATGAGGCTCGGGCAAGCCAAAAGGCTAGACAATCATGATCTAAATTAAAAGCATTAATATTTTAATGTGTTCATCTCATATTTCCTGAGGCATGCTTGCTTAGCATTGAAGAGGGGTTTCATTTTGCACAAGTTTTTGAAGACCTGAAGCCCCTATCTTTTATTTCATTGTTCTACAATTTGGTGAAGAGATTCAGGGACTCCCAGGAATGGGACATAAGAAATAAGTGAAGTCACATTTTTTTCTGAAAAACTCCATGGTAAAATCCCAAAGACAAGGGTGCCACAAAAAATAATTTGGGATACTCATTCCTGTTTAGAAGAAAATATCTTCTCAAGGGGCCCCTTTAATAATCCTGAGAGACAGACAAGAGTATGAAAGCTATTCTTCAGTATCTCATAGGAGCTAGTTGACAATTCATTCATGTGTCTACTTAAGATCTTTGGATGGTCTTTTCTTTGAATCTAAATTTTTGAACTTAGATCTTCCAAATATGAAGCTTTGCTTCTTAATTCCAAAATGTGGAGGTTGGCTTTTGTTATTCCATTTATGGACATGCTGTTTTATATTAGGGAACTGACTGTCATAATACATTTGTGGCAGAAAATTCTACAGGACTATTACAGAATATTTTGTGTTGACTTGCTACAGATTTCCATTCATACTGCTGGCTTCCACCATGACCTGGACTCTAAAAATGGCATTTTTTTCAATTGGTGAATTGATCTACCATGAACAACAGTTACAATATCTTCTTTTTCATATTTCTCAGATTGCAGGCTGTTTAGTTTGTCCTGGTGGTATTATTAAGTGTGGAGACAGACTTAATCTCTATTGCCCGATGCCCATCCTTTATTTCCATAGTAGTTTTGCAGCTTTATGATTATAAGACAAACCAGGTTTTTTTTATTACAATATGAAGGGAAGATTGAAAAGTCAAATTATGAGTGAATGGTGAGTATTTTTACAATATTGATGCTTTAGTACCAAAAACTACATTCTGATTCCAATTACACCCCCTTCCCACAGCCAACTTAACATTAGATCTGTCAATCCTACAATCTTTTGTACGGGGTAAATTTTCTAAGAGCCTATCTTCCGAGTGATAATTATAATAATCAGTGGTAAATGGCACATTTCTCTCTTGGGTTGGATGAGAACATCCCATATTTATCATCCTTTTCAAAGGCAGCGAATTTAAGGGTGTATCCTGGCAATTGCAAAGGGAATTATTCGAAAGGGTTTGGGTGGCCTGGGTCTTTCCAGTTGTAGCACACCAGCTTCTCTCTCTCTTCCCCCCACCCACCCTTTTTTAAAAAAAACTCAATATAAAAGCTCAAGTGTTGGATTAATATGGTTTTTTCCCCTCTGGAATGTCTGATATCATTTCATTTCAGAGCATATGAAAATACAAGAAGTAGTAACAATCTTTTGACCAAAACCTGTTTTGTTTTTTTTAACCACCTATGGCAGCAGGATTAACAGAATTTTTCAAGGGAAGGGAAAAAGAAGTGATTCCATCAGGCCTAGTTCCTATGAATTTGGGAATAATATATTCCCCCCCCCCCCCCGAGTCAAATTCCACTTCAGTGACATCCACAGACGGGTCACAGCAGACAAAATAGTGAGTGGAGCAGGATTCTTCTTTGTTGTGGATGTAACACCGATATACATACAATGGAGTTTGCTCAGAAGCGGAAATACACCAAGTGAAAGAGAGGAAGAGTGGGAAGCAGAGGAGAGAAGAAAGATGGGAAGAGAGGGATAGGAGAGAGGG